TTTGAGCAATTTCCTTGTTTAATAGGGAAACACTTCATGGAGGGGTGGTGATAGGTGCTTCCGCTTCCGCCTGATTCCCATTGAGCTCGCTCCTATGCGTGGTACTAATGGATGCTCTGCCACTGATCCCAACTGTCTGGTGGTTCTATTGCTAAGTGCCAGTTCAGTCTGTAATGAAACCATGCTGATGCATGATGTGATTGTTGATGAGCATGCAGATCTGATCTGTATCACCAAGACCTGGGTGGGGGAGCTGGGTGGACCAGATCTGACTCAGCTCTGCCTACCCTGGTACTCCATATGACATCAGCCCAGACGGGAGTGGTGGAGGAAAGTGTGAATGTAGTCCATAGGAGTTCACTTCCCATCACCAGGAAACCCATCTCTCTTTGAGCAGGGCTGTAGGGCCTGCATCTGGTGTTGAGCCAAAGAGACAGGTTAGGGATGCTGTTGGTGCACAACCCACCCTGCTTCTCATCCTTGAGTAAACTAGCTGAGGTTGTCTTGGGTGTGGTGTTGGAGGAGCACATAACTGTGGTTTTGGGTGACTTCAACATTCATTCTGAAAATGTCTAAGGTTCTACTCAATAGTTCATGGCCTCCATGCCAACCATGGACCAGGCATGGGCTAGAGTGTAAGTGGCATAAATCGTGCTCAGAAGCAGACCAGTCATGTGTTTGGGCTCATAATTGGTCTTACCACATGATGGTGAGCTCAGTGCTTGAGGAGCTGTCCAGCAGAGTTGTTCCATATGGTCTGAAGGCTGCTTACTCTTGACCAGGGGCGAATCAGGAGAGGCTGTGAAAGTTCTGGATTGGTGTCTGAGCACAGCGATGGTCTGGATGAAGGTCAATAAACTACATGAATCCTGGGAGAATTGAGCTGCTTCAGGTGGATTCCTGTTTCTAGGAGATAGGTAGATTGCCTGTTCTGGATGGCGTTGCACACCTTCTGAAGGAACAAGTCTGTAGTTTGGGGGTACTCCTTGCTACATTTGCCACTAGAGACCCAAGTATCCTCTGTGGCTACAAGTGCCTCTTACCAGCTTTGTCTGGTTTGCCAGCTATAGCTATTCTTGGACAGGGATACCCTGATCATTGTAGCCCATGTGTTAGTAACCTTGAGGTTGGGTTACTTTGGAACAGAAACTTCTGTTTCACCTTTTAAATGCCTGTTGAAAAGTTTTCTATTCGATCATGCTAATGCAGGCAATTAAGAATATATCTTCCCACAGTAGTTATCTGATTTCTGATTTTAAATTTTTATATGGTTTTTACTGAATGGCTGCATAGATAATATTTTTAATGAATTAGTGGTGTAGAAATGTTTTTTTATAAATAGCTAAATGCCCATCCAACCTCTTTCTTCCTGATACGTGTACCAAAACATTATGTATCATGAGGGAAATGGTTGAGGTTGAGAATGGGCAAGTGTGCAAGTTAAAGAAACCTAGTTTCTCAAAGCACTAGAGATAAAAGATTCTGACAGCTTATCTTGTGCATGTCTATTCAGAGGGAAGACACTTTGCTTACTAGTGTTTTTGTCGAAGTAGATGTACACAGAGTTGGAGCCAGAGTTACCTAAATATTGTGAAGAAAGGAGCTAGGAAAGGGATGGACAAATCTTGATTCTGAGAAAGTCAAATGGGATGGGATGGTGTACTGCACAATGTGATCTTGGTCTTCTGCTCCTAACAAGATACAGACTTTTCTTGGAGCAGGGTGCACATGTAGACATGGTTCTTTCTTGGTTGTAAGATACCAATGTACTTGGATCTGAAATATTGATGGGTTGAGACAGATTTTTATCACAACCAAATCTTCGTTTATAACAGTGTGTTATGTTATGCAGCAAATTGCTGATCCCCCTAGCTTTGCAGCCAGTTCTCTCTGTGACATAGAATCACAAGAATCACAGCTGCTGGCTGAGTACCACTGAAGTTGCAGTGAGATGCAGTTCCTTGTTATAGCTTGGTGCACGATCCTTATATTTCTGTATTTGGGCCACTAGGGTGTTAATATAGATGGGCTTCAAGATACTCATCTGGAGTATGATTTATAGAATTCTATTAACACATTAGTTAAGAACATCATAAAATTTGTATCATTCTTTTGAAGCAAGAGAAGGCTTTAGGTTGCAAAATTCTAATTTGGTTTAGTGTTCCCAAAGAATCTTACTTGGTTGGAAATTCTGTAAAAAGGAGACATGTTTTATAAAAACAGCACTCCATTAAAAAATCGATGTCCTTTTTCTTTGGGATTGTCCACTTTTGAGAATTATTTCACCATTAATCTACTCCCACCCACCCCCATTCAAATTAGACCAGAGTAGTCCACGCCTATTTATGTATTTATGTGTTTAAATTTATATATGAGGAGAAACTTCGGTCTTTCTTTGCATGTTTAATAAATTCTTCTTGCAAATGCTACTTAGTGTAAAAGGGAGGGGGGGCATCCTATTTACTGGATTCTAGCAATCTTGAGACCAAAATTGCACTGTAATCCCTAAATTTATTGTCTGCCTTGGGCACCTGCCTAATTGTTGTGTTTGTTGCTGTTTACAATTTGCTGGATGAAGTACTCTTTCCTGTGATAGAGGCTATATGGGTGCAAGACAAAGATGGTTGTTTACATCATTATATATTTATTAAAATGTATAAACTAATGTAAAGTCTAGTGAGGTTAATTTAAGGGGGATTTGTTTGTATTTCTTTAATTCTTGTTTTACTGTGTTTTTACCTTTTCATTCTGATGTGTTAAGAATTTACCTGGAGTAGTTATTGTAGATGGATTTGTGTATGTGTGTAGAATCTCAGTAAGAAAGTGAGAGCAATGTGTCTTACAAGACAATAGCTCTTTTATGGTGCGTATGTTTTAAATAAATACACAGTCCTCAGAACTTGTAAGCAGATTCTGTTAAAAGTTGATGTGAGTTCAGTTTCATACAGATTATCCTTATAATTGTAAGAAAACACTATTCAAATTTAAATTACCTTGAATTTCTTCTTAAGTGTAATGGATAAGATTTAAAAGAAGCTTTAAAATAACTTTCGAAGCTTTTGTTTGATGTAAAGACTTAGCTTGAGATTTATTTATATGCTATACTGTGGGTATTACCAAGAACCACCAAGTACTAACATGCCTTAAATCAATTCCATATCATCATTTATGAAAGGCATTTGCTGGTTCTAATATGAAATGTATTTATTATAAAGTGTTTCTTATAAGGGTGTTCTGTCATAATAACTTAAAAGTTAAATGCCTTTATTTCCAGAAATTATTTTCCCCAAAAGCAATAAAATATAAACTAGAAAGGGTAGCCTATAAAAGGGTGATGTGTTAAAATATTTTAACAAACAAACAAACAAACATTTTCTTGGCTGTAAAGTATGCCTTGTATATTTCATTCTACTGCAACCATGTGACACAACTAAGCAGTAATGCATCTGTGACATGCAGATGCAGGTTGCAGCAAAGTGAAATCACAGATAATATATTTGGAATTTGACAGTCCAGAGTTGGTTGATTGGAAATATATCCTGAAATATATAAATAGGTGTTTCTCTCGGGGCATTAAATTTTTTTCATGTAATTTGTATAAAGCTGAGTTTTAATAGGATCTACAACTAGGTTATTAGACTGGTTCATATGTATGCATTAATTTATTTGCCTTCTAAGTCTGGCTCCTGCTCTAGTCAGGCAGGTACCAACATGGCTGTCTAGAGTGATCCAAGATTGTAATGCGATGTTTGCACACATTATAGCTTATTCAAACAGAATATTTTTCTCTGTGGCATGTTGTGCTCTGGAGATAATTCTGATGTAAAAAGAAGTTACTCCAGGACAAGCTGTTCTGATTTAGTCTGGGATATCAAATTCCTGCATTGCTATCCCAGGATATGAAAGCACTCTAGAGTAATTTTAATGCATTTTCTGAATATAGCATAAGGCTTTTTGAGTCATACCTATAAGGGGTTATTCTTTCCCCTGCTAAAGAGGGCTGTTGTACTGTGGGGGCGAGGCAACTTGAGTCATCTCTTATGGTTTGTCCTGGCATATGGTTCGTGCCCATAAATTGGGATTGGCCAACTATAACAGGAGGACAAAACATTACAAGGTACTCCAGTTTTTACAGCAGCTGCAGTAACCATATGATGCTTTTAACCATATGCAAATCTTCAGGTTCAGAACTAAATTACATATCTTATATATTTTGACTTTATTAGAGCAATACTGAAATAGCTATTTTACAGCATCAATGTTTTGTGAAAATTTGGAGTAGCAGTACTGAAAAAGTGATTTCATTCTATTACTGTTTGAGGCTAGTAAGTAATAGAATTAAATGCATGGAATGAAATTCAGAGTAGCATGAATTAAGGGTAACTGTTTTTCTAAACATGAGAATATACTTGACTGTCACCAATCTGCATTTAAAATAATTGTTCAAGTTGATATTCAGGCTAATACACACACACACACACACACACACACACGTCTAATTACGTTCATGAAGAGTAAATAATGTGGTTCGTGGTGGTGCAAGTTTCTTTCCTTAAGATCATAATGTTGTTAATCGTACCTGATTGCTTGTTTCTATGAAATGGATCAGTTTTAAGTGATCACTAATTAAGTGAAAGCAGGAAAATTGGCAGGGCAGTGGGCAGCATAAATAGGTGTAATGTATTTATAAAACAAGATTTTAGGGGTCCTGACTAATTTTCATGTGTAGTAGACATTGTTCTGAATTTGTGTGTCTGCATGAAGCGAGGGAGTTTCCTGCTTTAAAGCACTTAACAGCAGTCAGCCGGGGCGTTTTCATTTTGTACTCACTGCTTCCCCCTCCCAATGAGTGTCCTTTGTGTAACCCCAACTAATTCAGAAATCTCTCTGCTGTAGTGAGGACTGCCCTGTCATGTGACTGAGGCAACTAGTTGCAGCCTGTGATTGGGCAAGAGCTAATTGGCGGCTGTGTATAAGAACTCCCTGCCTTCGAGTTAGTAGAAGCTTTCCTCGCTCGCATTGCTTAGTTACATGTAGTTTGTAATGATGAGACTAGGCGGTGATTCAGCAACATGTGATAAAGTTTAACACTCATGTGGGCTTGACCAAGCCAAATGGTAGACAATAAAGCCAGCTGCAGCCAATTTGGATTAATGAGCGTCACCTTGGAGTTTGGTAACTGTCACTTTAAGATTGCTTACTATTTTCAGAAGACTGCAGTTAAGAATCTTTGACAGGAACTTGTCTGAGCCTCTTTTCCTTTGTCGTTACCTTGTTTTTATCACAGGAATGGAGTGCTGATGACTCTTTACTCTGGAACATAACTGTAGGGGGAGAAACTTTCACGCTGCCTTCTGACAAAAGCATTTTGTAATCTGTCTTGCCTAGCTGTAGTGCTGAACGCTTTTTAGTTAACGGAAGCTGTAAAATCTTTTCACCAGGAAGTATTATTTGCTCGGAATGGGTAAGTGAGAAGTGGTGCTACCTTCTGCAACAGATAGTCTGTTATTTTGTGTTTAAAATTACGTCCAGATTTTCAGGTTGCTAACTAATAACTGAATTGAAATGGAGAATAGAAATGATTTGTTTAATCTGTTTTGGTGTAGCATGTTTAAAAAAAAACGTTGAGATGTTTCTGTGGTGATGTTTTAGGGAAGAGGCATGCAACTGATTGAAAAGGTAAATGTTTTCAGGATTTTTTGTGGGGAGGCAGGAAATTGTTAATTAGAAATTGAATAGTATGTTCTCCCTCCAATGCAGAACTATTTTGTACCGTCTGTCTAAATTCATAATAAGCTGTCTTTAGAAATGAAAGAGACTCTAGTTAAACTGCTAGTTTTTCTTTCCACTGACTACTTGCAACATACTTACTGACAGGAAGACATCCTGAAATATCAGTCTGTCATGTTCTAATACAAAAAAGTTAGCACAAATTGGCACCCCATTTCAATAATAATTATTTTATTTTATTTTTTATAAAGTGGAACTTGTTGAATATGTTGACACTAATGCTGCAGAGAAAAGCAAGTACATAGTACAGGACATAGCAAACCTGAAAGAGTGTTCATAAGTTTTGAATGAAGTTTCCAGTATAATAAAAATGTCATGAGCTAACAGAAAAATATTTTTCTCTGTTAGTCATACTTCCTTCAATTAGCTCATTTTCAGATTTTTCTTAGAACATGTTGTGTTGAAACAAATAGAGGAAACAATTACCTTTTAGTCAATAACATTAGGTTTACTTAAATTGCGGGGTGGGAGAATCCAGTAGACTTCTGTGTAGTAATGTCTCACCTTTATTTTAATTATACTTTTGAAGGAAATGACTTAATTGAGGCTGGTCTAGGTAAAGACTGTGTAAAATGTTCTGTCTCTAGTCTTCATCGGTTCTTTTCTCTCTCCCCCCCCCCTTGTTTGTATAGCCAGGGTTAATTGTTTTAGTGATGTTTTCAGTACTCCATTGTTTGAGACACATGGCAAAAGGTAGAAAGGACCTGCTTTTGTTCTGTATTTTTCTAACACTTTTCAGAATAGTTCCTTCTTTTTTCCTACTAAATGCTCACAGATAGAGTCCTTTCAGTGAAAATATAGATTGCTGTCTAAAAGGTAAAAAATAAGCAGGGAATTCTTAATAAGAGGAGCAATAAAAAAAAGGACTTTCAGATAAGCATGCATTTTAACAGCCTTGTTCCCTAGTAAATCAGGAAGAATGAGAACCCCACCTTGGCAATCATTCTTGTTCTAGTTAAGGTGTGTCCAATGAACACCTGGAAAAGGCTGCTTGCTAGTCTTAAGCAAACTTGTTTGGAAGGCTTCACAATGTATTTGCCACTCATAAAAGATAGCATTATAAGTGAAAACTTCCTATGTTGGCAATCTAAGAAACAGGTAATTTTATCCATTCTCCTTCCACATTCTTGCACTTAAAGGAAGCAAGACATGTTGTCACTCAAAATTACCTTATCTTGTTTGATCACTGCACTTTGAAAAGTCTCTCCGTGTGATGTACCTGTTTTGAAGTATTAAAAGTGAAGACAGAGTTAAATGCTCTCCAAAAGTGGCCTTCTCTGATCCCTAATTTTTCTCTGAAGCATTGTATTTCTGTAGAGAATTTCAAATCCCACTTTGACCTCTGATGTAGTTGACAATGAGGAAGACTTAAAATGTGATTTTAATTAATGAACAGCAGTGCTTTCATATTCTGCTTGCCAGGAAGACCCTCTGAAAATCTGGATGCTGGAGAGAATGAGTGAAAAGGAACTTATAAAAGAGCCATTCTTTTAAAAATTGACTGGTTGGTGGTTGCTAGAAAAAGTGCCGCTAGAATTACAGTAATTGTAGTCATAAATAGATTGCCCAGTTTATTTGACCCACATATGTGTGTTCTGGGAACAGCTGAGAATCTATTATGTGAACAAAGTCAGATAACATTATTTGAGTACCTCTGTGGAAGTTCTGAACTCAAATGTTGTTTGAACCTGTCCTCATTCACAAGAGCAATTAACTCACCCCTCCCTCCCTAATAATAATATGAATGTTTCAAGCAATATAGATTCTTCTCTTGCATCTTTTCACTTCTGGGGAAACCACTGCAATATAACTTGAAAGGATCTCTTTAGAAAATGAATATAGTTGGTGTATGGTGCTCATCTTCTACCAATGTCCTTATCATGAGTACCTTCATTTGGTGCCACTGGGTTGCCAGTTGATTTTGAAAGATTCCTTGGAAATTCAGATTACCTGATCTGCATTTACACCTATATGAATGAAATAGCATAACAATTTTTCATAATATTTGGATCAGGATTTTAGAATATCACTTCAAAATATCACATTCTTTTTATATCTGCTTTACAACACACAAAATACACTATACTGTGTAGGACTGTATAGTAAGACAAAGTTGGTGGCTCATTTGTAATCACCAAAGGATCACAAGAACCAATTTAGTGTCAATAAATTAACAGGGCAGGCCAAAGTGAGTCATGGCCTTAGCTGTACTAGGATAGGCGATGGTTGTCTTATCAGTAGGCAAAATCTGTCTTATAACAATCAATAAATAGATATAGAACTCAGAGGTCTACCAGCAATGTGCCTACTTTTCACTCATTCCTTAATGGGCAATTTTGTATGCAATGAAAAAAATTCAATGTTTCTGGCTGTCATCTTCCATAATTCCACGTGCTATTCCAATTAATATACCATATCTATTTTCTGCCCATAAACGTCCCTCCTCCCAACTGTTGGCCATGACTACTATGAGCAAGTTTCCATTTCTTCCTACTGCAGGAGAAATGTAGACCCTATTTAATGTAGACCTCACCTCTGCACTATGATGTACAAAATTAATGGAGCACCAAGCACCCTTGGGAATGCATTCATCTAACATGGTATGGTGGTAGCATACAAAGCAGGTGGAGCAAGCTGTTAGAAGTGGCTACAGACTTGCTGATTCTGTAAGCAAGTCATGTATTCCTAAAGTTGTAAAGTTACTGGTTTAGCAATATATTTTTCATTTTCTGTAAGCTGCCTTAAAGATTTTATTTTTATACAACCTAGTGGTGTATAAATTTTTTGAAACAAAGTATTATAGAATGCATATTGCGGTAGGGGAAAATGGCTAATGGTTTTGCTCTTCTGAGTTGCGTGACATTTGCAAATTTTGAAACAAGCCACACATTAATCACACATTTATCTTCTTCTTAACTACCTGAGCAGACAGGATCCATCTTCCTTAAGCTTTCTGGGATAATTCTTTGAAAAGTGATAAATATATAAGTATTGTGGTTGTAGTAGTTCAGCAATTGTCCTTCCTGATTAAATTCTAATAGGTAAAGACTTCACAGTAGTTAAGCATTTCTAATATGGTGCTGGTTGTTCCTTTTTAAAGAATGAGTTATTCTCAAGTGCTGACATAGTCCAAGATCGTTCACTTTCATCCTGTTGGTTGATTGAACTGAAATAAAAATAGATGCCATCAGCTGTAAACTAGGCTACAGTCCTATTTACACTTATCTGCCTTGTACCTTATACAGAATGGGCCTTACTTCTGAGTAAATCCAAGCCTAAGATTAGTCATAAACATGCATCCCTGTAAGTTCTATCAGAATACTCTTATTCTATTTTGGTTTAAAAGCACAAGGTTTTTAAGGCTTAGTGTTACAATTTCCCAAGTAATTCAGATAATCTTCAAATATGTTAAGGTGGAGTTGTCCATATGGCAAGACCCTCAGATGTACAGTCCTGGCACAGCTGCAGGAACCATTGTGCCCACATGCATTTTTTAGAAGTCGGCCGGCAAAATAACGTTCCTTTAAGCACTTTCTGCACTGACTTTGTCCTCTCTCTCTCAAAAGCATTCGCTAAGATTTAGACCCAACAGCATGTGCAAGGCTAAATATCTTGTGCCCCAATTAAATCAAGTTACCGTACGTCAACTAGATTAATGTTTCTATTTGCTTCTTAAAATTATTTCATTTATGAATCACTTCCTGTGAAGCATCTCATAGTGACCCCCCCCCCAATTCCCTTATAGTCTGAAATGCTTAACCACTTTCCATTATGGCATTGCATTTCCCCACGATGAATGGAAGACCATATGCATTATCTTGCCTTTTGCTTTTTACAAGTTTAAAGACAGAGGACAGAGGCTAAGTGATGTGAGGAAATGCATCCCTACTACAAGATTCCCCTTCCCTGCTATAGTCTGAGTGGTAGCAAGGGCATTCATGCCCTCGGCCTTTCCAAAGTTAGGTTAGTGACCTGGCATGACAGAAGTGATAATGCCAAAGTTCCACATTAAAAGGAGGGGAATTTTGAGAGAGGCATTGGTGCTGCTGTTTGTCTGTGGGTGGGTGGAAAAACACCAGGGACTACCTATGTGCTTTCTGTTGAAGTTAGGAGTGCCCAAGCTCATTGATTTTACTGGGCTTGCATGTTGATAATTGTGTATTGGTTTTGACCATTAAGTATCCTATATCTTACTTAGGATGAGTTCACATGTTACATATTTAGGTCCTGATCCATAGCTTTGTTGTGCTGCACAAGATGTCTCTGTGCTGGTACACTTGTAGACCCAGCAAATATCAGTTATGTGTGGATTCTAGGGATCACAGAGTTGTGCAGCAGTAATGCTGCTGTGGCTCGAATAATTCATTTATAGCTCTTGCAGGAAATGCAGATCATAGCACCTTATTTTATCCAGCTAGGAATTGAGAAGCTCTGGTTCTGTGGTGGCAGATTTAGCTCTTAGGTATGCTAGCAGGGGTAAGATGTATGGCAGCATGGAAAAATCGTTTTACTTATATTGGTATGGTTCTCTCTTTTTATGTCCAGTAAAAGTAACTATACTTGTATGCAATAACTTTTTGCATAAGATGTATCTCTATTTAAAGAATTCATGATGCATCTGTAACAAGTATCTGCAAAAAGTGTAGTGTGTGCCCCTTAATTTTAGATACTGTACAAAGGTATTAAGTAGCAATTCTATTAAAAATATTTGGAATAACTGACTAAACAAATAAACTATCCAGTAAATATAATTTATCAAAACTTACCTGAGCTAGACCTTCCCTAACCCAGATGCAGTTTGTGCTATTTTGATTAGAGATGTATTATATATGAGAAAGTTACTCTAATAGCCCATAGGATTCAATCCTAAATATGTTTATTAAGAATTAAGACACACTGGACTTAGTGAGAATTACTTCTGAGTAAGCACACATTCAGCTGGCATGCTAGAATAACTGTATTGCTAGTATTCACTGCAAGTGAAATGGAATCCATGCTGATGATCCTTTTTAAATGCCAGTTATTTGCTATACTGTATATTTTATAATCTTTTATCCAGTGGGAATTACAACAATAATTTAGTGTGTTTCTGGGATCTTTTATTGCCAGATTACATTTTGTACAGTGACAATTATTCTGTATTCCTAATGCCAGTCTCAGTAGCCCCAGGCAAGTGCTAGTCACATATTAAGTTTGACAAGCAAGTTGTGTTGCTTTTAATTTCCTCTGGTTTTCGTGTCATTTTTCCTGAACTGTAATAAGGACAAATTCATCCCAGGATATGTAGCTCTTTGATATGGGGCTATCATACTTTGAAGATGCCTACTAAAGAAGGGGTAAAGAACATTCAATGGGCATTGGTTGTCACTGTGTTTTTAAAACAAAAACAGTTTAAAGCTGTGTTTCCGCTGGCTTCAAACACAGCCAGGATCTCAGTTCTAGCATAGATGTGTGTATAGCTCCACTTTAGAACACTGTTTGAGTTTTAAAGATATTATAGTAGTCTGGCTGTTTATGACAGTCACCATTGTCTATCACTTATAGCTGAGTTTTTCAGAAGCTCTTGCACTGCCTGGAAAATTAAAAAAAAAAAATTCTTAAGGATGCAGAAAACACATTATGTTCTAGTGAACACGAAAAAATATTGGTTCAATGGGCTTGACAAACAGCACACTTGCTGTATAGTGGTGATTTTTTCAGAGGAATTATTCAGTATACCAAACACGACAGTTGTAAATTGATGCTCAATTAAGACATGAGGGGTGAAGTCAAAAGCTTCACATAAGAAAAAAGTTTTTAAGGAAGGTTTACAGAGATGGCACAACATGGGTATTCTGGGAGGATAGTGCAGGTGTGAGGTGCATCAAGGATGAATTCATTTTTAATAGTCCTACATTTATCATCTTACTTTCTAATATTGCTGCTTATATTTGGAATCCAAGATGCTTTACCTTGGGAATGGTTACAATATAGGTGTCTCCAGCAGCTTAGTGCTTTTTCATTTTCTGAATCCTCCAAAAAATGTTGATTCTATCAACATTTCCTCAGATTTGTTCCCATTTTCCTTTCAGGTCTGCCCATCCACTTGTACATAAGCAATGAACTTTCTGCTGCTTTTGAGATTCCCTTTCTGTGTAGCATTCCTGTCAAGACATCCTTCTTAAGGAACAAGAGATAGGAAGCCTTTGACTCCTCAGATTCTAGTTCCGAATATACCGTACTTGCTGTTCTTTCTTTCTTTGGAATGCTCAGATCTGCTTGCCTGGAGGTTCTTGGTGGTCTCTACCATAGAAAGGTGGAGCAGACTTCTGTCTTCTTTCTCACATGGGCTGTAATGTAGGCTCTATCCCGAATGTAGGATGTGCTTTCTCCTCATTTCTCTCTCTCTCTCTCTCTCTCTCTCTCTCTCTCTCTCCTTCCTTTGAACATGGTGAATGTGAGGATTGGTAGTTTGAAAGCATCCCCACATGATGATCTGTCTATATGTGCAAAGCTACCACATTGAAGAGGACTACACATACCTGTTTTCCGTGTTTTAATTGACTCTTTACACCTTCCATTTTTTGAGTCTATAGGCCATCTGCTTGTAATTTCTACCACTTGTGCCTTCAAATAGTGACGTGTTTTTCCTTCTACATCCTTTTCTGTTTATTTATTATTAGGTGATGTAGCATTCAGGAGTGGTTTATCGGTGTTTGTGTGTTGTGTATTAGAAGGTACATGTGCAGTTAACTGTGTAATGATAAATCTGGGGTGGCTTGTGTGCAGTTTGGTTTTGCACCGCTTTCGGCCATCTTTCTTGCACTTAAATTTCAGTGGTATGTGTGCCAGTTTTAAGTGGTAAGTGGGTCTCCTACTTTGACTCCTCACGATTCCTGTCTGTAACTTTGGCCAAAAATCTCTAAACTGATTACATGTTGAACAGGCATTGTAAAATGAGTCAGTTCCTGTTCTTTTGGCTGGAGCTTCGTTGGGAGTTCTCAAAAATGGTATTTCAGAATGTGGATGTGGTCAGCCGAGTCACTTTCAAAGCATCTTAAAGGAAACCAACATCAACTGTGAAAAGTGAACTTTGTAACGGTACTGGTATACTCTAGAATGCCTTCTCAATCACAAGGTGCACTGCAAGTCTGTCTTGCCTGGGCTAAGCCTTCCATAGTATGAAACAGGTTGCTTCTCAGTCCTAATCATTTCAAAGTTGTCAGCAAAAACAGATAAGAATAAGATAAAAGCCAATGTGGTGTAGTGGTTAAAATGTTGGACTAGGAGCAGGGAGACAAGGGTTCAAATCCCCTAATCAGGGCTGCCAGGCCTCCAAGTTTGGCTCACCATCCCATTCTTGCCAAACCACAGCCACCTGCCCAGACCCTTTCACAGTAGGGGTTGGATTGTATTTACACCTGCAGAAGGTACATTTCCTGCACATAACTAAGAAGTTTTTTCTAGTTCCCGGAAAGGAGTCTGTCTACTAAGTGAAAGCAAAGAAGTAGATGTCAAAGCATACAGCAAATGTACAAGTACATTCCTGTAAGAATGTAAACAGATGTACATTACTCATGAAGAAGTAAAACTTCCTAAGCAGATGGCAGGAAGTAGTTATGATGGCAAAGTTCTTTCTTGGTAAAGTGAATGCTTAGATCCACCAGTGGAAACTACTGCACTCATTCATTGAAGAAAACATGTTCAAATGTAAGTGGAGGTGCCAGCAACAATGACCAAAATATGATCCCTCAAAACAAGTTCTTATTTGCCCTTTCTGGGCTAGCTCTAGTACATTTGAAGAGCCCATTTAATTGCAGCACAGGAGAAGTAGAAGATTTCCTGCATACTGTGAAGTAGTCTCCCTTAAAAGGGAGCACAAGACACCTGAACAAAAACCACCAGATTCCATAGAGAAAGAAGTTCCTGTAGCAGGTAAAGCCACTGTACACTGAGCAGAAACAGTTTTGTGCTGCAGCTACCAAAACTTACACTAACTGTGGAGATTGCAGAAGCAGAAGCCATTTGGGTCCTTCTGACCACAGCAGTTCCTTCTCTCCCTTGTCTCTTCCTTTTGTGAGCTATCTTTATAGGGAGGCTGAGATGTAGTGCTGTCTTCTAATGCCAAGGTTAGAGAGGTGTCCCAGATCCTAACACTAATCTGTGCGCTCACCTGCCAAAAGATGGCTACTGGTGGATTTGAAGGCAGAGTAAGTTAAGGAGGCCCAGTTTGAAAAGTTTTGAGTACACTGATAATATCCCTTTAGACAAAGCATGCTAAGTTTTACTACAGTTTTACATAAGAGGAATCCAGAGTGCTTTGATTTCCAATATAATCTATGCTGGTTGCTATAGTCCACTCTCTTGCAGGCTGCTATCAGAGTGTGAACTGCTCTTGTGTTCCTATTGGTCAGTGTGTTTGTTAGTGGAGAGCTCGGGAAAATACTAATTCCACACATTGATTCTAACCTCTTTATTACTGCAACTGTGCTGCTGAGCTTGGCTTGAGGAAAGGTTGAAATTGGGACATCACCATTGGCTATGAATTCATGTTCTCAAGCCTCTTTGATGCTGCAGCCAACTGTCAACTCAATGTTTTTGCTTCCCCCCTTTATCTCCTCCTACCTTTTATTATTCCTATTCTTGGGTTAGTCTTCTTCCTTCTGCTTCATTCACTTCAAATGCCATTTTCCCAGTAATTTCTTTGTAGCTGTTTTTTTAATCACTGTTTTTTCAGTCCTTGCAATGCTCCATCTCTAGGCATCTTCTTCCCTCCTCCATCCCCATACTGTGTGGGCTTGCTGAAATTTCTTACACCTACCAGGTCATCTTTCAGCAAATACTGTTTCTACCATCTTTGAAAATTATTCTTAACAGTGTTAGGAAAATTTCACTGCTCGTGCCAAAAGCCTCAACATTGTCTTCTAAATTCAACCCACATATTGAACTTATCCCGTGATACATTCTGCCTCTGTCAATATCTCTACACCTTTCCACATGCCCCCCACCATGTGTTCTGCTTATGTGGTGAATCTATTTGAGCTTTCTGTCCTCCATTGTTCCTGTCTTCAGGATTTCTCATTGGCTTGAGCTCCTTCTGTTTTCTATGACTATAGAGAGCAAGCATACAGATTGTAATGGCTATTGGAAATGTTATTCTCCTGTTTCTGCATCCCCATATAATTACATGAATTATTATTTTTTCCTTTCATCAATAATTTCCTAGCCATAGAATAATGAGAAGTTAATGGGAATAAGTCTAAACTTTACCATCCGCCTGAGAGGGAAACTTTCAATAGGCAGCGAGTGTTTTGTATATTTCAATAAAATACAAAATGTGCATGACTTTTCATCATTTGAGTTTGCTTTGCTTAGTGGCTGCTAATTTGGGGGCTTGGCATTAATATTGCCTTGCTACTGTACACTACTTCTTTACTATATCTCTGGAGACTTTATTGATAGTTTCATGGTAGCAGCCACCAAAATTGATACAGACTCAGTGCTGTGCAGGATGCAGTTGCTGGTCATCTTTAGAAATGAAGTTAGCCCTTTTCAGATAACAAATTGAGGGTATCCATTCACATAGATGGAAGGGAGTGGGATCACAAGTTTTGCCCCTGACCCTGTTCATTCAAGATCATCATCATTTATTTATATGCTGTCTTTCCACAGTAAACCATGCTCAAGGTGTCTCACAGCATCAAAATGTTTCGCATAAATCAGTAGCTTTTACAGTACATAAAAATCAAATAGTCATATAAGCAATGAACTAATGAAAACATTTCATATTAACAAATATACAATAAAATCAAACAATTCAAGAGTAACCCAGATTAGCAGCAAAAACAAACCAATCTTTTGCTGACTCTTATTTCCTGTGGCTATCTCTTACGGCTTTGATTGGTTTATGAAAATTAATAAAAAATATTTAGAAAAACCAGAATGAAATCCAAAATGAAAACTTGCCCTAGCAAGAATTCTAGAGCAGTAGCCCACCCCAATGGTCTGTAGATATCATGAGCAACAGAAGCAGACCTTGTAACTGGGGGCAGTCAAAGCCCCACGTGGAGATGGGCCAGAGGAGCAAGGAGCCAGTCTTGCAGGACTCACAGTGAGGTATCTCCTATGCATGTACCAGAATGCATGTATGATCTCCAGGTGATTGGGAATGCTGAAAAACAGAATCTAATCAGAACTTGAACAAATGTGCATAGGTCATGGTTGGAGCCTACCACCATTATACTGCTCTCAGCATTCTCTTTCCACCCGTGTATGATCATATCCCCAGCTTGTTGTTAGAAAAGGGCTCCTGTATCACACTAATGAACAGCTTTTATTGACCCCTTCTGCTGGAAAACCTAAACAGTTAAAAACCCTCAGGTCTCTGGTTCATCCTTGTATTTATTTGAATCTAGTTTTATTAATCATAGCTGGAAACCAGTCTCTCGTAATACACAAAGAAGGTCTCCTAGGCAAGCTTTGAGATAAAACTATCTACCTCAAACCTGCACTTTTCCCACAGTTGCATCAAATTTACAGATTTCCTTTTAGCAGTGAGAGGCATTTAGATATTGATATTGCTGTATACTCTAGTC